TGTGCTTATTTATCATATTGTCTTGCATTTTCTACACTGGGAGGGTTCAAGTTAGAGGGTCTGGAGTGCTAGCAACAGGCCCGGTTCCTGGGATGGGCAGCAGCACCTTTGGTAGAGATGGCAGAAAGAGCAGCAGGCTGGTGTTCCAATCTGGTTGCTAGGATACCATAGAGACCCTCCATTGCTAGGCAGACACACACACAAAAAAAAATGTGTCCATATGCCTTATAACCTGCAAACAGCAACAATAGAAACATCCTCTGTCTTCTTCTACCCTCTCCCATTAGGAATCCAAATCCAACTCTTTAGTGAAATAACAACTGGTGGGAGTGTGGAAATGAGGCACAGAAGATCAAGGAAGCTGGTCGTTGATATTCTCAGGCAGTCTCTAGAACTACTCTGTTTAAAGGCTTGTCAGTATTTTTATTTTAAACCCCAATTTAGGGGTAAGCAGCTTGACTGTGCTTCAAAATACTCTAAAAGGGTTCTGGTAACCTGGACTTATACATTTTTATTAGGACTTCCACGACTTCAGTTTTATTGCATAGACCATAACATCAAATTAGCAATCAAACTTAAATTGGAAAGTCTATCAGAATAACATTAAGTTGGAACTTAACTCCTCCACAAAAACAAGAAAGATAAATATCAAAAACCAACTTCAGGTTCAATTCTCATCTCTGTCCCATTCTAAGTATGTGAGGAATCTGCAATGATAGTCTGTGGCATAAAATTAGATTATTTTCATTGAGAACACTTTGGAGTGGGAAAAAAAAAATTGGTTTCTTTGAAAATTTTAATCATCTGCTGCTTGGCTGAATTCAATGCACTTACCTAGTTATGGTTATTATCAGGGTAAGATCAGGTTATCATGCTGGTGGAGGTGAAGGATTAGACCACCAGAGATTCAGAACTTTACCAATGGGTTAGTACTCAGGATAAAACACTCACACACATAGACACATAATTCTGAATTCTAAAGCCAAGCAGAAATACCCTCATGCCCTCTCAACAATTTTATAGTATAAAATTGATTTTCATTCTCTGCCCTAAATATGCTTTTCCTCCAGTCTGACCACAGTATTCTGTTACAGCCACCAGTTGCTGTCATTCCCTAGATGTACCCTCTGCTTTCCTTTCCTGTCTTGTCCCTTTGCTGATGGTCCTCCTTATTCCCACCCCACACCCCCTCATCCCATCCACCACTCACCTAAAGCATAGCTATCTTTCAAACCTTTAAATGTCTCCACTTCCATAGGGGTTTTTGATATCATAATACCAAGTGGGCTGTATTCTATGTTGCAAACTGTCTCAGGAACCTCCTCTGTGACCTACCTTACTTTACTTTCTAGAACATCTACTTATGCAATACTGTTAATCCCCTGCCTGTTAACTCCTTGATGGCGAGACTTAATTATCTCTGACTTCTAATGCCTAAGATAGCTCGCATATGGCAGGTATCCAATAAAAGTACTGAACTAAGCTGTAGGGCACATTTTTAATTTAACAGCTGCTTTTGAAGAAATCTATGTTTGAATATTATTCCATCATGATAGTAGTAGAATTTTAGAATTCCCTCAACATCCTAAAGAAGTTAACATACAATCTTTAGGAGATTCCATTTCTCTCAAGGTATACTAGCATAATGTTTTAAAAGATCATATGAGATCTTTTCAAAATTAATGCCTCCATAAAAATTAGAAAATATATTCCTTTTCATCCTCAGCTCTTCCAAAAAACTTCATAGTCAAAAAGTGAAACAGAACAAGTCATCACATTCTCTGAAATCCTCTGAGGAAAAATGCAGTAACTTAACAGTCCACAGAAGTGCTAACAACTTTTGATAAGAAATGGTGTCTACACAGCCCAACTAAAATGACTTAGAACACTGTGGCAGGAAAATTGAGAATATTTACAAAAGGAAAAAAGTTCAGTTCAAAATACCAGAGACAGAATGCTCTGACATATTACAGAGTCAATTTTCAGATATGAAATATTATGAAATGAAGTTACTTTTAAAGTCCATTAGGACCATTCTATATACATAACTAACAGGTTTCTTATCTCATATAATGGGTATTTTTATACATATTTTCATTTTTTAAATTTTATTTGCTCAATTTACTTCAAAACGTATAATTGACATGCTCAAGTAGGTATTTGTTGGCAACATAATTTAGATTACAGTTTGCTACATCAGTTCTTTGCTTCACGGTGATACAGAAAGGGGGCTGAAGGGAAATGTCTATACATGTGTGAAAGAGACAAACACAAATACTTCCCCACGTCAGCAATGCTGCAAAAGGACCCTCGCTCTATGCTGTAATCTGATAGAACCTTCCTTATAATTCTCAGGCTAAAAGGAACATTCTAAACCAAAATATTAAGATGATTTAAATGAATAAGTTAATTTACATTTTGCACTATTTTAAACAATCAAAATCCCTAAAATTCAAACTTTTTAAAAAACTGTAGTCCTCAGAATCAACCTCAGTAAGAAAAAGTAGACATACATTTTGCATATATCAGACAATTGAGCAGAACATTAACTGGAAAGTTACCTACATCTAATGGAAAGAGAATAGAAAATATGAATGTAACTGAGGTTAATTTAGACTGTTTAGATGTTTTCTATTCAATCTGAATTTATAACAATCTGTAAGCTTAAGAAAGTTTACAGTTGCACTGAAAATGAAATATAAAGACATAAACACTTGTTGCCAGTAGGTCTGTGTGATCAAATTGTTTATAGGGAAATTAATTGAAATTCAAAAAAAAAAAGTCTTCTTTGGTTTGGCAAATTTTCCTGATTCTTTATGGAGCTATCTTGCGCAATCATTTAAATGGCATGAGGGAAAATCACTTTGCATACAATATACTTCTCTCTTTCTTAGGAAAGGTACAATCAACCACTTAAGCCAATTTTGTTCTAGTTTTCTTTATGTAAGTGTGAAAAAAGAACAGATGTTTTTCCAAAATTATTTAAGCTTGGAAGACATCCTATAATTTTCTTCAATATAATCCTTCAGAATCACCAAAACCATGATGGTGATATCTTAATAGCTAACTTCTTTAAAGCACAAGTTATTAAATAAATATCAGAACACACAGCATTGTTTAATAAAATGTTTATTATGACAGAATGTTGTGAATTATGTCCCACACTAATTTCTTTTTCTATCACGGACTTTTAAAAAATCAAGTTATTCTACATGTCAACTACTAAGAGCCTTCTAAAACTTACCACATTCTACAGTTCATTCCCTACTACCTTGATTCCTTTAGATCTTCTCTGATAGAATGTTTAGCTGGAGTTATCAGCTGGCATGATCATGCTTCATTATAAAACCTATTAAAATGCTCTTTTTATAAGAGCATAGTTTGCTCTGTGTTATTCCAAATCCTGAAGATACTAAAATGAGATCCTAAAAATGCTTAAAGATGCAGAGAGCTGTCTTTGAGTTATTTTTTCATTATGCAAAACTTGGCCCAGGAGAGATGGCCATGTATCTCGTTAGCTAAAACAGGCAAGCATGTCAAGACTGCAAATTAATTTACCAGACAATCTTGAAGTGGATTCAGATCACTTGAGTTTCCTAAGCAGATCTAAATCTACTGAACTATAGGGACAACTCAGTGAGGTCAGAATCTCAGAAATGTTTACCCATATTATCTCTCCCCCATGCTCTCACAGAAATACAAAACGCCTTTTTAAGATAAACCTGTATGAGGGACAACAAATACTCTACGAGAACCAACAAGTATACGCACAAATCAAAGTTTTCAAGTATAATTAGTATACACTCAGGAGCTCATGGAAATCAAATACATACAAAAGGAGCATTTATTCAAGATTCCAAGGAATGTTGTATTATTATATAATATCTAGACAATGTAATGTGGTTAGGAATAGAGTAGAAAAATCCCTTATTTTATCAATTATATCACTACATGTTAATTAAAAGCATCTTTCATTTGGGTGCTCTATTTCATTCTATATTAAGCTCATGTTTCTGCCACTATACTATCTGAGTAAATGGTGTGTAACAAGCACACCAATTTAGGACTCTGAGTTGAGTGGTGTATAACAAGTTTCATTCAATTTTCCCACCCAAGTTATGAAGCCCACTGACATCAGAACTATACAGTTCTCTCAAATGCTAGAACAATACCAGAGTCCTTGCATCAGAAGCCAGGAGTAAGGCAAACAATGTGTCTACATTGTCAATAAAGGTAAGTTTACTTGTCTATATTTGACCCTGGAGGTACACTATTAGTAACATTATGCAAGTTCCTTAAGGTAAAATAGCAATATTGTCCCTCAGATGTTATAAAAAATATTTTTTTAAAAATAAATCAAGAGACCAGGCTTCCATTTGTGGATTGTAAATGTCATCCAATTCGGGAAATAAAAATCTTCCCTTTTACATGCGTATTTGCTTATTTTTTGACACTTTGATGATGACAGAACATCAGGTTTGAAGGGTACCAGCGTGAATCGCCAGCATGTAGAGCAATCCGGGAGAGCCACAAAAGCATTAGAAAGTAAGGGTGATAACAGACGCATTTCATTTTAAGTCTGATGAGCCCGCATTTAGGATTTTCCAGCTGGGCAGGTTTACCAAGGCATTAGGGAAATGAGGCTTTTTACTGCTCTTACATGCACACACACACACATACACACACACACACAGCCGGACACACACCTAGGGAGCGTTCAAACTCTATGCACAGTAGGTGGCACATATGAATGTATATGGATCGCTACATTTTTTAAAAAATAGCATGACATCTGACAAAGACACGAGGCGACATAGGTGCAGCGAGTCTGGCTCTCAGAAACGTGCACAGCCCCACAAGAAGTGCCCATTAAAATGAAACATTTCTGAGGATGAAGACAGACATGGCAAGCGGGAGGGGCGGGGGCCGACAGACAATACAGAGACCCGCAGCTCCCCACCGACAGGTACTACATGGACCGGGCGCGTAACCCTGCTTACTGTGGGCTCTTGGGGTAGAAGGGCAGGGTCACATGGCTGAGATCTTGGATGTCGAAGGCGGTGGGCTCAGCGGAGATCGCCTGTCGCTTGGTTCGCGGCTCGCCCTGCAAGGTGCTCGCGCTCTGCTTCTGCGCCTGCTGGGTGGCCGGTCGGATCACCGAGCGGTACTTGTCCAGCTCGTTCTGCAGCTTCTGGATCAGTTCGTCCTTCTGATCCAACTCCAGCTCCAGCTCGTCAATGAGAGCATCCCGCTGCCTCAGCTCCTCGATCTTCTCCTGGAGCGCATACTGTAAATCCCGCAGGGTGCCCATGCTCCTCCGGGCTGCCGGGGGCTCCTTCCTGCTGCTGCTCCGCGTCTTGGGGCTTCCTCCCCTCTCCGATCAACTTTCCCCAAAGTCGCCGCTGCCTCCCGAGTGCAAAAGCTTCCTACTTGAGACCAAAGCCAGCCCTGGCTTCTGAGCATGCCCAGTCCGCCGGCTCCAGCCACCGAGAGTTTCCGTGCAGATTCCACTTCTCGGGGCTGAGAGGCTGAGCGCGGGGATGAGCAAAACAGCAGGTCCAAGCTCTGACTGAACCTTTCTGAAACGCGGTGGGCACCGCCGTCTGGGAAGAAGAGCCGCGAGGCGGTGTGACTGGGGAGTGGGACAAGGCGACCCGGACCGGGGCTCGGAGGCGGCGGCTGGGGTGCGGGTCACTCGCGCTGGGCACCAGAGGAAGCCGGCGGGTGTGGAGGGAGCCTGATAAACCTCTGGGGCGCGCGGGGGATCTGCAGGCGCAGCGAGGCGGGAGCACTACTTTGGGGGTGGGAAGGTGGGAGGGAGAGGACAGGGAGGACCCGCGCAAACTGGGGAGGCGTAAGCCGGTTCCAGAGCTCAGCCTCCTTCAGGAGGATGAGCTACAATCCTGGCAACCGAGTTGAGCAAAGCGGACTCTGCTTTCTAAAGGCTCTGAGTTCTGGAGGAATTCTGACCACCAGTCTCATTAAGAAAGGCTCCTGAATCTTATGGCCGAGTTCTCCGTTCTCCCACGCCACCTTTCCCACAGGGAGCACCTCACACAGGTGGCTTTCGCTGGAAAAAAAAAAAAACTTGCCCTTCAGCAGATGAGAGCCAGTCGGTACCTAAGCAGGATTCCCCTTACATGCAGGTGCCTTTGGAGGAAGGGGCTTTCCCCTTAGGCACTGCCTTCTCCTAATTACTCCTCTGATTAATGAGCTCTTTTAAGGGCAAAGGCCAAAATGATTTTGGCCAAGAGGACTGCTTTAGAGTCTCCATTATCCTTTGCACTTGAACTAGCGTCTGCGGGAATAGTTACCAGAAGGGCCTTGTTCATCATTGCTGATTGGGTGGGAGTGGGGATCAGGAGGGGAGGGGGATTCATTACTGAGCACCACAGAGTTCAATTTGAAATTGAACCATACCTTTAAAATATTAAAGCCGAAGCTGTTAGGACTGCATATTTCCACTTGAGTGGCAGAAGAAATCCTGGCATAAATCAACTAGGGAACCTAGTTGAGCTGTATTAAATTGTTTATTATACTATCCCACATTTACCCACTCCCATCCTGCCCACTCATTATTTCCTAAAATGACAACAATTAGGTAGCATTTTTTTTCTAGTCAAGAGTAATTCTCCCATCATCAGAACACAGTTTTAGAATCCCCAAATATTTGCTTGATACTGATCTAAAGTCCTAATATTTTATCCACATCTTCACCAACCCATCCAATTTTATAGCATCTTAATTAGCAAACTTTTAATACTATTCTTGGGAACCCTATGTTATTATCCTCAATGTTCTATTTGGCCATTCCTTAGTTTTAAAACAAAACAAATTAAAATTGTATTGCAATTCAGGACTATTCACTATATAAACTTCCAAGGACACCCATATATCAATCTCAAAAAGACTTGCCCACTTTTACTTTTAAATACATGTTTTCCATATCAGATAAGAGTGAGTGAGTGAGAGTATGTGTGTGAGAGTGTAGAAAGAGACAGAGACAGAGAGACAGAGAGAGAGAATAGAAATGAGGTAGCCAAAGACATGTTAAACTGATTCCAAGTGTTATTGGAAGTGTAAATGACAAAGGATACACACTCTTAAACATTCTGCCACATAGAATATCTAATTCTTTAGTATAGATATCATAAGACAATTTATTCCAACACAAATATTTTTGGAAGTGAATTTACTTCAGAATGCAATATACAGTGGATAATTTCCAAAATATTTTCATTTATAATAAATGACAGCAATAAATAATAGTTCTGAATTTTGTTGTCATAATTAAAATAAACCAAGTGGAAGTACTGTGGCTTCTTATAACTGATTATTCTAAAAGGGTTTCCGTGACATTTCCCTTCTCCCAGGCAAAAGGCCAGATTCTTATCCCACTTAACCTATGGGAATTCTTTAATTCCATGGGAAAATGTTGAAAACTAAATTACTTTTTTCCTATACATCTATTGTTAAGGGTCCATGAAGACAAGAGTTTGTGTTTAAAAATATATCAAGAGCAATGAATAGGGGACATCACTAGGCAAATTTTATGCAGGGCTGTGTTTTTAAGGTTCATTTGAGGTTTGAATGGGGTTACTTAATGTTTCTGAGCAGCACAATGTAGAAAAGATTTTTCCTCATTTGTAGAAAGCCTGTCCACATACACAAAGGAAAATAGAAACTAAACATTTCCCCCAAAAGTAGCACTGCAACCAAAACTATACATGTATTTTGAACAAAATGAGCTTTTTTATTCTCTATTTTGTAAATATTTTTCAGTATTTATCATATCTACATGCATTTATGGCACATAGTCACATTACATTTTCATTTTAAATCAAATTCCTGTGCTACAAAATTTATTTCATAATGAATTCAGCATGTAGAGTCAAAAAAGCTGTTGTAACAAATGCAAATGAAACAAACTGCTGAGATGATTGTGACTATTACAATCATTTTACACTAAAAAAGGTGATCAAAATATGAAAATATATGTTTGGTTATATTAACCTATATTTTGAAAAAAATTAATTTTTCCTTAAACCTTTTGATTCTACATGCAAATCTAGAGAATTCTAAGCTTTTCCATCTAATCTCAAAAAGTCAAGTAAATACTTGAATTAAGATCTTCCACAATGGTTCTGACCAGTTGTTTAGGTCTACAGTGACCATGTTTTCCATCTCAACCTTTTCAGTGATTCTAATTTTTTCTTACTTATGTTTTGAACTCACTTGGTAATTACTGGAAATAAATTTATGTGAATAATCAAGATCCTGCAATTATATTTCCACAGATAAATTTTATCATAAAATTTTTACTGTATGTCTCACAGTAAACTTAATTGGCTAAATTACTATATCAAAGATCAGACACAAATCTAGTTTCTGTTCATTAGAAAGTGGTTCCTTAAGTCTAATGGAGTTGATTATAACGGCATAACACCAGTTCTCCTCCACTGCATATCTGGATGAGGTCTTAATGTTAGACACTAACAACTAGAACAATGAAATTTTAATTTTACTAGTGAATTCCATAGTCAATTCATAATCTGCTTCCAGTGATCTTATCATTGTTATAGAAGCAAAATTCTATAGTAGCCAAACCAACCTATAGCATATTGATGCACCCAACCTAACCCCCAAAATTGCGAATAAATATGTGTTCCTTAATGGAATCTCAGAATCACTTGATGAGACATTCAAAAATGTAGTTTTTTCATACTATGCTATTTTTTTTAAAGATTTATTTATTTATTTATACAAGCACTGGGTACAGTCAGAAGTGCGGGAGGGCAAGAGAATTCACCAGAGCCAGAGCAGGCAGCAGAACAGGCAGACAGACGGAGGACACTGCTGAGGGGAGCAGCGCATGGCAGGAGAGGTCTGTGCACCATGTGGACCCCCGCTGGTGGCTGCAGGCAGCCTCACAGCCCAGCACTCAACCACCGCCCCGCCACCAGCAAGGCCTCTGCTATTTTTTTTTAAAAAAAAGTCTTTATACTTTATCCTCCTTCACTAAAAACATAATTAGCCTCAAATGAACTGTGATAATTTGGTCATCCTACTGTCCTGAGGATGCAGTATATCCTGGAAGAGTGCTAAATTTGAAATTTTCTATTGCCATTGTGTGTGTGTGTTGTGTATAGCTATATAGACATAAAGTACTCATAATTAAGATCACAATAAAAATAACTAACTTCCTTGAACTCTCAGTGTAGAACAGGCACTTTTCACTTTTACCCTTAGAAGTTAGATATTGTTATTATTATCTCCATTTATATATTTAAAAATGGAGAAACAGAATCCCCACCTAATGAATGGCAAAGCCTAGATTCAAATCCAGACCAATCAATTGATGCTCAATCCCTTATCTCCGACCCCTGGCCCTCACTGCCTTCTGCAGGCCTTCCATGTATTGCTGTTGACATGGCTCTAGATCAAGAGAGATAAGAGTAACCTTAACATTAAGTAGCCTGACTGGTTCGGAGAAGTTGTAGGAGGAGAAAATTGAAAAATCCAGAAAGGGTAGGAGCAAGATTATTTAAAACTTTCTTTTCCCAAAACAGTCTTCATTTAGGCACTATTTCATTCTGGTTTAGGGTAACCAATTTGTACCTATTAGGCTTGGGTTATTCTGGTTTTAATACTGAAAGTGCTTGTGACTGTCCTGGCATTAAAACTGAAGTCGTAGGTACCCATTGGTGATGGGCCAACCAAGATGGATGGTTACCATATTGAAATCAGGACTGCTGAACCACTTTATTTTTTATTTTCACTATTTGCTTCAAAAGTTATTGATAGAGGGCCTCCCTGGTGGCACAAGGGGTTAAGCACTGCAATATGAAGCAATCCACAGCCTTTGCAGCATGAGCTCAATCCCCAGCCGAACAGGGAGAAACCTACATGACAAAGCAGAACTCTCTTGTCTCGCCCACTGCTCCTCTCAGCAGTGTATTTCAGTCAGTCTGCCTGTTCTGTTCCCCACTCTGTCTCTGATGGATCCTCTCACCCCCCCGCATCTCTGGCCTGTATCCAAGCTCTTGTATGCATAAATAAATAAATCTTAAAAAAAAAGATATTGATAAAAAAGTAAAATGTAGGAAGATCTGTAACCATAATACCTGTTGGGGGGGCATATTACAAACCCATTTGCACATTTGTTTGTATGAATATATTTTAGGGAAGCAATCATCCTATTTCAATTCATAATAATACACCACAAGAATTGTGCTTGGACTGTAAACAGGAATGAGTCAGACAAGAGAATTTTAATTATACTTTGTTAAGTTAGATAAGGATTCAAAGCTCTCCTTTTGGTTTATTGTTTATATAGAAATATGGAATTTAGACAGATTGGTTTCCTATAGATTAAGCACAGCAATTCAAACACCTAGTATTTGATTATTCTCGTAGAATTAGAATATTCTTATGACTGTATTTGGGAAATCATTTTGACCCTGTATATTTTGATGTATATTTTGATTTACATAAAAATTCTAGTGGTTGGGCTGTTTTGAAGTCATACTAGTATGAATGATAATTTCTACATGTAAAGGGGGAAAAAAGCATTAACCATTAATGATGAAAAACTTACTGCAGAGACTTGGAAAGTAATAGTGCTTTGTACCGTAATTGCTAATGTACTTAGAGTTTAATGCCAAATTAGTGTCATGCCGAATATTAGTTGAAATGAATTCTGATATTCCACAGCTTAAAATGATGATGGTAAGTTATTATTGGGCCTCAGTCTAAACTAGTGCTCATGAAAACCCATGCACTATCTAAAAAAAAAAGAACATTTCTTTCTATTCTTTAATAAATTCTCATTTCTTGAGACCAGAAGAAATAAGACTTTAAAAAGAAAAATATTAGGCTTTCTGTATTTTGTCACAAATGGAAAATTTTAAAATGCATGAAATGAACTTTAAATGTAAAAGATTACTGCATTTTGAGTCCAGTAACTATATAAAATGAGTATTCAACATCACTATATCTCTGATTAATAAATTACACTCAGTTCCATTTCAGTGATTCTTCAAGTATATTAAATGCTCATGATTTATTAAGTTAATGAATCAATATATTCTACAAACGCACCTTCCCCAGCACCTCAATTGTTTGCCACAAAATATTCAAAAATAATTGCAAGATCATTTTGCATTTGAAAAAGCTTACTTCACATCATGTGGCTTATAAGAGAACATCTTTGGAATCAATGATTTGTTATTGCTTTTATTGTAAATAGCATTTAACAGCTGATATAATTTGGCCATTTTCCTCCTACATATTTTGTAATCAAAATTTAAGTTAAAAAAACAAAGCTTACTAGTGAG